GGCAGACATCAGCAGTGAGCTGCCATTGTCCTTCACAAGCTATTCTAACTTGTCTCTAACAGGTCTCCAAGAGCACAGTCCACCTGGACTGATTGTCATCCAGAGCAGCACTGTGGCTGGGTCTGAAGCTGGTGCCAGCTGAGGCGCTTGGCAGAAATGCGCAGGCATGGAGCTGGGTTTTTTCGACTCTCCAAAGAGCTGCAGAGCCACGTCCTGACGTTGGCATAGGCTGGCACTGTGCTTGGTGAGTTCAGAGGATGTTTTTACACAATTGGGGCTGGGAAGGCTTGAAGAGGGTTTCTTTTTCTTCATCTTTTTAAACAATAGATAACAGTAAAATCCATCCCCTGCCTCTTCTAAAGACAGCTCCTTTTCTTGATGGGTAGATAGATATAATGAGATTCTCAAACTCATAAATCTGCTGCGACTTTATTACCTGCATCTGTTGGAGATGATGTGAAGAGAACTTCATACAGAGAGGACTCTTGAAAGGTTACAAAGGGAACTAGCATTCTTCAGAAAATCTTCATCTAGAGAAAACAGCCAAGAAAACCCATATAGAAAAAAGCACTTGAGCTGGATGAATAGGTGTCAGGGCTGAATGTGACACTGGCAACAGGGTACCTTGTGAAAGCAAATGAAGCCAGTCCTCTGTGTGGGGTAGCTCTGGTGCAGGAGCCAGCCTTTGGCTGCCATGCACAGCCCTCAGCCCCAGGACCGGGTGTGCAAGGGGGTGGTCGACACCCCTAGGCTTGCACACTCGAAACCCCTGTGCTGGCAAGGGGAAGACACAAACAGTAGCTGAGCTGAAATGCGCTGTTGCTTTTTTATTTGCCCGCTGGTAGATGTGCCCCCATTTCAGCTCGTCCCTGGTGCAGGGACACTGGTGAGAGGCAGACCCATGGCTTAGACCCTGCCCTAGGCTGCTGGGTCTGCCACAGTGGACAGCCCCGTGGGTGGGGTGATGGCACACCACAGCCTCACCACATCCCTATGCTGCTCCACTGTCCTTCTGGGCTCTCACAAGGTCACCAGTGGAACCAGTGACATAGGAATGGGAAGTGGTGCAGGAAATGGGCACAGGAAATAACTATTTGTTAAGCTAGTCAGAAAATCAGTGGGGATCTGCCTGGCTCCCAGGTGAGCTGGTGGCAGCTCTGTGCTTGTTGTGGAGCCCTGGTCCAGGGACTGGCAAAACTCTTGAAAGATCCCAGTAGCTCCTTAGCAGGGTGGGTACTTCTCAGGTGGGACAGGTACCTGCTCAATGTGGCTGTGGCCAAGAGACCTGCAGGGAACTGAGAATGTCCCAGCCTGGAGCTTGCCCCAGGACCAGTGGTGAGGGAGTTGTGATTGCCAGGCAGAGCACTGCAGTTTGTTAAAGTAGGCTGGAGATGGTGCTGGAAGGTGCTGCCTGCTCCCCAGGGCACAACAAGCTGTAGTGAAAGGTCATGTCTGCAGTGTGATGCAATGATGTCTTCACGATGCCATAATGCAAGCTGGCACCTATTTTAATGGCAGAGATTTAGGCTTTGACCTTCTACTCCCCATTGCAAGGGGGAAGATGTGCTTGCTGGCTTTCCTGCCCCAGGTAGCTTCTGCTCCCACTGACACCTCACCCTTGCTGAGACAGGGCGGCAATCCAGAAAGCAGAGCTGCAAGCAGGGAGAGAGCAGATGACATCTTTAAGCTGTGATCATTGAAGAATATTAACCACTCTTGGGCTTTGTCACTGCCAAAAAGTGATGCTTGAGCAACGTGGCGCCAGGAATCCTGAAGTCACTTTTGTAGCCTTGGAAAATGCAGCTGCTTTGGGATTTCAGCCCAAGACGGCTGTTATTATCCACTGTGCAGAATGAAGCTTCTGTTGGGAGCTTCTACAAAGGCCATCAGTCTTCCCAAATAGTGGTTGTTTTTATCACCTGGCAGTAATGATACTCTCTGGTCCCTTTAATATCCGAGTGTGTTCCCAAAGTGAGACCAGGAAACTCATTTAGGGCTCACCCCCTCCGAGGGAAACAGCTTACAATTTTCTACCAGGTAGCCATTCCGTTGTGAGAATGGGCATGGCTCACCTAATAAAAACCTCGCTGACAGACAGGACCTCCTGGAGGTTTATCTAAGTCGTTTGTTGCAGAGCAGAGCAACATGTATCAGGGCTGAAATACGTGCCAAGTAGCAATCCTAAAGCACACAGTGTCTCTGCTGTAATTGATTCACAGGCAGGACAAATACCCGGTGGAGAGTGCAAGGGGCCCTGCCTACTCTCCCAGCTAAAACGTTATAACATTGTGTGAAATAGTATTGCTGAAGCCCATGGCTAAAATCCAGCTTGTGGGCTGGCTGGCTCTAAAACTGCATCACCCAAAATATCCCCATCCCTGCTTGCATTGGCTGGGGCATTTGGGGTCCAGTTCAGAAGGAAACATATTAAAAAGTGGATCAAAAGTAGTGATTCTTGCCAGTAATGTGTGTGCAGCATTGCATGTGCATTGACTTTCATTTTTTGGCTAATGCTGTTTTATTGTTCCTCCAGGTAAATGTTCAATGAGGAAAGGCCTTGTCCAGTTCCTTGTTTTGGTCAGTAAATGCCATGGGTGCTGTGGGTGGGAGGCTGCTGCCTGCCATCTGGGTCTCTCTAGAGACAGGGTGAGTGATGGCAGCGACAACACCTAAAACCACAGTGAATTTTGAATTTTAGGGATGGCTAAAGTTGATGGGGTGGCTTGGTGTGACGGTGTGGTGTAAAGCAGATGGTGGTTCTGGGAACATCCAAATTCCCCACATTAGGAAAGGGCCCTAAATTTTGTTGCTTGTCTGGCATCCCATCCATACACATGGGGGCAGCTGTGGTACTGCCTCCCCATTGCTCAGTGGCTGCGGAACTTGGGGTGGAGAGGTCCCTGGAGAGGTGTGAAACCTCACCTGACACCCCTAAGCAGCCTTCCCAAAAATACAGGCTGGCTGGGGGAGCAGGCAGCAGAGAAAAGCTGCCATATCCTGCAAGCTTTTTAATTTCATCAGCTGCATGGGGCTGCTTTGCCATGCATCCCCCCTGCACAGGATCAGGTGGTATTAGAGACTTGATCCTTGGGAAGGGCTGGGGGAATGTCTTATGGTGCGAAACCAGAGGAGCTCAGCCTGGTTAGCTTATTAAAAAGAAGATCAAGAGGTGACTTAATTGTGCTGTGTGAGGTACCTTCATGGGGAGAGAAAGGCAGGTATTAAAAGGCTGTTTAATCTAGAGGAGAAAGGCATCGCATGAGCCCACGCCTGGAAGCTGAAGCCAGACAAATTCAAATTGTGAATCAAACAGACCTTTTAAAAAGCAAGTGTTAATAAAGATTAAACTACCCAGGAGAGCGGCGCATTCCCTTGCCTTTGATATATTTAGACCCAGAGAGGACGCATTTCTGCCCCATACACTTGAGCCAGGCAGGAGTTACTGGGCTTGGTACAGGAGTAATTGGATGCCAGACTCAGCCCTACATGAGGGAAGGTCAGGCAAAATGATCTAATGGTCTCTGCTGGCTGTCAGTGCTCCCATGCCTGGCGTCTGTGATTTGTGTGCCTGTGGCCAGCCGGCTGGCAGGCATGTGGCTCTACCAAGAAAAATCGGTGGGGAAACACAAGGAACATGGTACTGTGTCAGAAGGGACAACAAGGAGACAAAGTGAAGACTGACACCTGTGGGGAGAGTCAAAATATTAGAAAGGAAAGGCTGTTAGCCAGAAAATGTCTTTTTATTTTAAAAACAGAGTAACTCTGTGGACATTAGGAGACATGTAATTTTTTTGTACTTATCTACCCCTAATTTTTCTCACAATTCATTAAAAATAAAATCACCCCTCAAGTTTTATGTTGACCAGAAAATCAAGGTTTCAGTAGGAAAACCTCATTTGGGGAAAAACAAAGACGAGTCATATCCCAATTTCATGTAAGTAGAGTACAGTGACACAATGCCTGAAAACCTTAGGGAGACCCAGGAATGGCTCAGGAACCACTGCTCACTTGACAGTGTTGAAGTATGTTGTGAACTTATTTTCCTCTTTATTTTTATCATCCATTCCTGAGGGCTGGCTGGTGAGTATGGCTGCAGAGAGGAGCTGCTGTGGGATGTCCCTCATTGTTTTTTAATAATATTGTGATTCGGCAGAGCTCATCTTCTACTCAGTGCCCTGCGTCACTGTTCTGGCCCTGTTGGATGGCATGCCCGGAGCAGGATTCTGAGATGTAGCACAAAAGTGTGGGGTGATGCACTGAGCCTCAGATGCTCCCAGGCTGAGCAATGGGCTCCTTCAGCAAAGGATGGAGCCTGCAGAGGGCTCTTGCTGAGAAGTTGTTGTTCAAGGTGCTTTTCATAATATTTAAAAAATGTGTTTGCTTCCTCTTGCAAATGTTCAAACATCTTTAAAGTGTCTGTGGTGCCAAGCTGCTTCTCGCCCTGTTTTAAGAGAAATAAGCTTTCTTTATGGAAAAGGAGCCACAAAAAGCGCAGCAAGCCCAAAGTTAACAGTGAGCAGACCGAAACTAAATTAACACCAGCAAGATTTCAGCTGCCCCTCCAAAATATTGTGTCTCACGGCAAAGGGTCTGGGAAAAGATGGGAGAACAGATTGCTTTAGCGCATCTTCATGGTGTCTCTGCGGCACAGATGAAGCTCAGGCTGGGTCTCCTTCCCCTTGCCAAGCCTGCAATGGGGACTCACAGCCCCTAAAAGTGGACAGTCGGAGGCACAGGCTCGACAGTGCCATGAAAACCCATGGGTGCAGCACCACAAGGGGATGCAACTCGGGACACTGTAGCCAGATAGTTTAGAGAAGCATCACCTGCAAAATCAGATCATGAGCCCAAACCAGGACCAGTGAGCAGGAGGCAAGGGACAGGGAGGGAGAGCCTTGCCTTCTCCACTGTCATAAAGGTGGAGGCAAGAGAATGGGAGTGTTAGCCATTGGCCATGGTATCACAGCTCCATGAGGATTACGTTGGCCAGCTTCCGTGAAGAAAACAGGCAGCTAACAGTGAGTTCCTCTTTGTAACAGAAAATAGTCAAAACAGCTTGAAAACCATTCATAACGAGAGCTCTGAGAACAGCCAATGCTACACAGACAGAGTGAATACTGTCATTAAGCGCTCTTTGGATGACAGTCCTAGCAGTTCATTATCCCCCATCACTGCATGGGGAGGGTGGTGGAGGAGAGAGAGGGGTGAGCGGTTTTTTAAATAATCCTTTTTTTCCTAAATTAATCCCCACTGTAAAGCAGAGCACCAAAGGAGCAGTACAAAGGCAGCATCCTGCCTTGCCAGTGCCCTCTGAGGCTGGAGCGTGAGGTTCTTGCAAGAACCGATGCCACTAAAACACAATTCCAGCCTTGATTCTATTTAATTTGCTAATGGATTGTATTTATCTCTGTGCTTTCCCTCTTTTTTTTTTTTTTTTAAGATATGGTTTCTGGGTGTATTTTCTTCCTCTGGAAGTGCAAACAAAACTTTACTTTTAAGACCCTGGCTAACATTTCTGACTCACGTTAGGCAGTAGCTCCAGCAGATGTCAGCTCCAGCCTCACCCCCCCGGTTGCCGTGAGTGATGCACCAGGTGCTGGGAGCCTTCTTCTCCATGTGGGGATACTCTCATGCAGGCTGCGACTTCTTTATGTGGATGCAGGTGGGTGTCCTGGGCTGTGCCCCCAAAGCCCCTCCACATGGGGACTGCAGGGCAGGGGGGTAGCAAGAAGGAGCAGGTCTCCCAGTTCTTGTCCTGCAGTGGGTCGAATCTGGTAGTTACCTGTGCTTAGTGAAGAGGTGCAGGATACCAAGCCTGGTATGGACACAGGGCTGGCAGCACTGTCCATGTTTGCAGACTGAGCCAAAGTGTATCCTGCCTAGGCTAGATGGGAACATCAACTGATGGTGTTTTATAATTAACCTCCTTGTTTGAAGAAGAAATGGTTTGTTTTTGTCAGGGACAAGGTTATGATGCAGGTTGGGTCTCCTGACCAGAGGTTTTTAGGATGTGAATATCCCCATATGCCCAGAGGAGACCTCTGTGCTCTTGCCTGGTCATAGGAGCCCAGCACCCTACCACTGCCATCCAAATTCACCAGAGCAACTCTCAGGCATCAGCAGGAACACAGACAACAGGGCTTGCTAAAACTTGTGCAAATATTTCCCTAGCCTGCCAGGTCACCTGGGCAGCTGTGATGAGTCACTGTAGTTGTGCTATAGCTCCCTGCGCTTCATCAGCATTATCTCCCCTTCATCTCTAGTATCTGGGAAAAGCATCATCATTTATTCCCGAGTCAGAATGCTGAATCTCTTCAATTCCAGCAACATTGCTGCATTAACAACCTTGTCACTATCCTGAAGCTGATAACCTCAGGCAGAGGTGTTCATTTTTTAAGTCATTGAGCAATGTCCTGTTTGCAACACCAGAACTACAAGATACCCTGGTACAAGCAGCCCTTTCCATCCCCCCAAATCACTTGCTAAACCCTTCACCATTTGACCCAGCCTCACTCTCCTCTTCAGCCCTTGAAACAGATCCTAGTTAAGACCTGCTCAGCTGCAGGCCCTATTACGGCCCCCTCCTCGTGCTACAGTCTGGCATCACTGCTTGGCAAAGACTGTTGGAAGGGTTTTATCATGACACCCAAAGCAGTACACTGCTTGTTCCCAAGTGTGGCACTGCTCTGGTTTAATGAGCTTTGGAGATGGCACTGGCAGCACAGCCCTGGCTGTTTGATGGTGGTCAGTGGGGCTAATTAATCCTGTGTGTGCCCAGAGCCCCGTGCCTGCCTGTGGCCCTGGCTGGGGCAATGCCAACAGCACGGCTGGGCTGCAGCTGGGATGTAAAAGTGCCTTAAAGGGGCCAGCTTTTATCCACCTTTTCCTCTTGAATTGAGGCTAACATTGTTTCTAATCTCAAAGTCCAACTTCTTCTTTTGCAAAATAAAAAAATAAAAAGACAATTTTTGAAACAGCATCCAAGTGGGACTCTGTGACTTGCTCTGTGATGCCACCAGGCCCAGATTAGGATGCTCCTTGCTGGTAGCTGTGTCTGCATCTGGCCTCCACAGAGCTGGCAGTGACAAGGCTGGGGCTCCTCATTGCAGGGAGATGGGCCAATATGCTTTGCACCACATCCCTCCTTAAATCCCCAAGGCACACAGACCTTGTGTTAACTGGGGGTTAACTGTGCTGCCACCTTTGCTTCAGCATTTCCCCCATGTTTCCTCCAGCCCTTTGGAGTGTGTTGCTGCTGAAGCTAGAAGGAGTTGCTTGAAAAGCACTGATGTGTTTTTGTATTTGAAATTCAGAAAAGCAAGAGTTACTTAGATAGCTTTCCCTTTCCAGGAGGAAAGCCAGAGCTGGGACTGGCCTTTTCTTCCTCCTTCTTTCCCCTAAACCAAAACAAACCCAAGTTTTTAGCTGCTTCAGCAGCCTCTATGTCAGAAAGAGCCATGGTAAACGCCCTTTGCTTCATAAAACCAAGGAGGCACATCTGTCACCCTCCTTGACACCATTGGCTTGCTGTGTGTTGGCAGGGAAGTGGCACTTTCCGGGCACCAGGATTTTCTTGCAGTGGCAGCAACGGGTAGCAGTGATGGGTCAGCCCGCAGCAGGAAGTGGCTCCCCTGCCTGTCCTCATCCTCATCCCTGTCCAGGCTGTGAGGGATGGGTGGCCTCAACACTGTGCTTTTGGCAGAGGGCAGGAGGCATTTAGGCAGAGTCACCACTACCTGTGAAAGCCCTCTCAGCAGAGGACCAGGCTCCCATCACCCCCCTCTGTCGGTGCAGGAGAGGGATGTGGTGAGGACGGGGACGGGTGCATGCGAGCTACACCTCCCTGGCTGAAATGGTGTGTGTCATCCATAGGAAGCACCAGGCCTGGTTTTCTAGATGTTTGCAGGATGTCTTCTCATCCAGGAAAATAAATAAATGGATAAATAAGAATTGCTGGGCAAGATGTGGTGGCAGGGTGCCAATCCCAGCCCAGCCAATTCATTTGCAGTTCTCATTAATTTGGACTGACCTTTGCTCACATTTCCACCACGAGCACGTTCAAAACAAGGCAGACATTTAACTCTGTTTTGGGCAACGTTACTCTAATGTGGCTTTTTTTTGCATAGCTCTCTCTTTTATGGTAAGCAAATGTACTGCCAACTTTTCTCTTGCTATGTACACCAGCGAAGGGAACCAGATGCTTCGTGTTTTCCTCTGAAATGTATCTGAATGTTGTTTTTTGTTTAGTATTTTGGAGGGAGGGCTGGCTTACAGACAGCATTTCATAAATCCAGTCCTCACTGCACGCTGTTTCCCAACTTATGGTGGGTCCTGGCTGTGGCTCCTGGCTGGATTTGCAGTCTCTCCTCACACAAAGTGGCAGCAGCCCCTGAGGTGCTGAGGGGACAATCCCCAGCTGTCCCACTCTCAGTTGGGCATGGTTGCAACCAGGGGAGACCCCCCTGGAGGGGTCCCTGGTGATGTACAGTGAAAGGTGTGGGAATGGGCAGGCTCATCCCACTGACTTCTTGTACAACAGTGTGTCTGCAGCTTGGCCACATGCAATGGCCACGGTTCACAGGGAAGCTCTGGGATCAGCCCAGAGACACATCTCAGGGGAAAACCCCCCAGTTCAGGGATGTGTTTTGCTGCTTGTGGGGAGCAGCATGTGCGGATTTGCCTGGTGAGTGCTGGTCTGTCTCTGGAAATGGAGGGGTTTCACTCATCATGCCCGAGGACACAGGGGCCATGTGTGGCTGCCTGTGCCCACCCCTCTTTGCCGTGTGGCTTAGAGCTGGTGTTCTGTGTGGTGGGGGCTGCTCCTCCTTCTGTCCATGCAGGGTCTGAGCTGTTGAAGCCCACCCAATAAATTCTTGATGTGCAAAAAAGTCAAGCAGTCTTGGGCAAGATTGTCAAAAATAGCTGTGCCACCAGGGCACTTTTGGCCATTTTAAAAAATTCTTTCCTTCTACCTCCATTTGTACTTCTGCTGCTATTTTTATAATCACTCTTCTGCTTTCAACTGCTTATCTTCCTTAGCTTTCCCTCTTCTTTTCACACTTCATGCCCTAAAATCTTTTCATCACTTTTTTTTTTTTTTGAGGGGGGGCCTGATTGGGCTTCATTTCTTCTCTTCTGCCAGATTTATGTGAGTTGTCAAGTCCAGCAGCCGTTTGTCTCTGCCTGATGACAGAGTTGCTTTCCCCCACTTCCCCCCGCCCCCCCCAATCAGATTCATGGTTGTTCTTTAAGGCCCTTTAATATTTTAATGCTCTGACTATAAATTCCATTTTCTCTAAGCTTCAATCCTTCAGTGGGCCTTCCCGTGGAGGGCCGGCAGCTGCCGCCCCCACCCCCGCTCGCCAGCGTGATTTGCAGCGTGTCACAGGCGGCGTTTGGGGTGGCTTTGCTCCGTGCACAGGAGCGGAGGGCAGGGGAGGGAAGCGTAGCAGGAATTCTCTTTTCCTTAAGCTCAAACGATCCTTCAAAACTTGACAGGAATTGACTTTTTTTTTTTTTGGCTTTCAAGACGTGATTTGTTGTGGGCTTGTTGTGCTTTTTATTAAAATGCTCTCGTGGAGCGCTTAGAAAGGTTGGCTTTGCACAGCCCTAGCTTCCTTCTTTAATAAATGCAGCCTCGGCTTACAGTTTTTCCCTCTGATGTGTCAGCTGGGGGACTCGCTTTCCATCTCAAATACACCCAGACTGCTTAAATCATCCTTATTTCTCTCACAGGGAGAGAGACTTTTGCTCTCCAAAACTTTTCACGCCCTAAGTTAATAAAACTTCTCCACTGAAAGGGATGGATGTGACACTGTGCTGAGGATTTCATGGCCGAGCGCTGGATTATTGCTGTGGTGTAAAGGGCTCCCCAGCCTTGGTAAGCACATTGAATGTCTTCTTAAAATATGAGGTTGAAATGTATTTGGCAATAGCTATCCCAGAAAGCTGCTGGAAGAGCTCACCCCCTTTGCTGGTGAGGAATGCTTCCCAAGGGGCTGCACAGCCCAGGGCTGCTGCTTTGTTGCTCCAGACAGCCCATTGGTGAGGTGCCCTGTGCTGTTGCTGAAGGCCACTCTGCTTGGGCGTGTGCTTTGAGGGCTGCAAAGAGAGCTGGGCTGGAAGCCAGGGCAGAGTTACTCTGTATAAACACGAGAGACCAGGAGGGCAAAAATAGTGCTAGAAATTTTGACAGTGTTTGTAAAGAAGTCAACTCTGTTATTAAGCATGAGATTGGCAGCTGATCTGAAGGTGACAAAGCAGCCCTGCACCATGCCAGGAGGGACCTGATAGGAAATTCACAAAAACATCTGGGACAGGACAGCTATTTCCTCTAGATTTGTAAACATTTAACCAAGGACGTTAGCAAAGTCTTTTGCAGCAAACAGTCCTGAGCTACCAGCCCGCGCTGGCTCATCCCACAGCCCTCCACCCACCGCAGCAGCACAAAGAAGCAGGGCTATATTTCTTCCCTTGATTTTTGGCACCAGGGCCAAGGCAGGGGTAGAGCTGCTGAGTGTTTAATTCAGTGCTTTCCATTTTAGATATTAGTGCTGCAACTGAATTATGATACAGGAGCCTAGAGAGGAATCATTCCCTCTCAACACATTCCGGATTAGTTATTTTCCTATTAAACTGCTTTAGACATGGTGAGTTTGTTGCCTCAGATGGGTCAGTGCATGTAACAGGAGTTGATAGGAAAGCCTAATCCTACCTGATCAGTGTGAGTGACAATAGGGACCTATTGAATTCCATGCAGATTTTGCTATACATATATACAGACCAAAACTCAGGGTCACCCTCTGTATTTACACCACAGGGCTGTGCTGAGCAGCCAAAAAGTAAGGCTGAAAGGACACAGCAGGGATCCAGCAGTGGTGGCACTGGCTGCAGGAGTCAGCGCTTGGAGGTTCACCAACAGCTCTCATGGCCTAGTGGGTTTGGCCCATTTGGGGTGTAAAGTGGGAAGGTGTGAACTATCTCAGCTCAGCTACAGTAAACAGAGCAATCCAACTTCCTCGGGGAGGGGCCGTGGGGAGAGAAGGTGCCTTTTGGGTGCTAGTAGTCATGATCTGAGCCTGACAGTTATGAAGATGTAAAGGCAACATCCTGCAATAGACAGGCTCCTCGTGGTCCCTGCAGAGAGGAGGTGGGAGCACCAGCCTCCCTGCCTGCCAAAGTCACTCTCCATGGCTAAGCTGGCACCAGTTTTCACTGAATCCTGTTGGATGGTTGGTGATAGTGCCAGGCTCCAGGAGACAGAGGAGCTTTTCAGAGAGAGACAGAAGAGAGTGAGGCAACGGGAGGCTCCACTTGCACCTGCCTGCAATTAATTAATTACGAGTCCACTCATTAGCTCAGCCCCATGGCTCCCCTCACTGCCAAGCCCCCAGCTGTCCAGAGAGCAAGTCATTATTAGAAAAGATTTCCTATTAAACCCAAAAGCAAAGGAATATTTCAAAGAAGGGGCAAGGGAAACAGCAAGGGTGCACACACGATTGCAATCAGCTCTTCAGGATGTGCTGGAGCAGTTGGATCCCCATCTTGCAGCAGCCTGAGAATGGTAAAATCGATTTCATTAGCCTGCTCAGACCCTGATTAGTCTTGTGCCACATAAAACACCCCTGTTGCCCTCACAGCCCAGCCTCTGCTGGCAGTGAGTACCTGTGTGTGCATGGCAAATGCACCAAGACACCCCAGGTCCCACCCTGTCCTGCCGGCTGCAGAGCAGTCCCACCCAATTGCAATCCCACTTCGTGCTGAAAAAAAAACCCCTGAAGATTTCAATTTCTTAAAGTATATACCTGCCTCCCCTTGGTGCCCAGGAGGCAGCTGCAGCCCAGCTTGCAGGCTTTTAACCTCAGCCGGAGCACACATCTGCTTTGCCGCCGGTTTTCCTATTACCTGCTCTCTGCTCCTCGCGTTAGCAGAGGCTCATCTTAAACCGCAGTGATTTACAGGCGGTGCTACGGCAGGACAGGTCTGACACTGATTGAGTCGCTTATCTGCCGTCTCCGTCCTGCTCTCTGACAGCCTCTCCCCCAGGTATCAATCTGCACATCAGTTCTTTATTCCTGGGTGAGGGGAGAGCTGTCAAGGTTGCAGCTACACTGTCATCTTCATCTAAGCTGCTAGCCGCCCTTCATTGCTTAAAGACCCTCTTTAACACACAGGTGCTTTGGGAGGGGGCCACCTTGTTGGAGACAGCAGCAAAATTTCATTTGCTCTCAAGGTGCTCGGGGGGCTTGATTGATTGGCCCTCATTTGTCAGGGTACCTATACATAAATAAGAGTTTCCAAGCTGTAGGTTCAGCCCCACTGCTACTCCCTTTTGCAGCCCCTGCAGCAAGAGTTGGCAGGGTGTTAGGACCCCTGTGAGACACGAGGTTCCCTCCTGGGGCCACCATCGGGGTGGTGGGACAGAGCAGAGGGAGGGTAGAGAAGAAAAGTAAAATATGCAGAGCCAGGCTTAGCACTGGGGTTTGCTAGGAGTCCCCACTGTCTTGTGCCACCCAAGGATGGGGCTGAAGCTGAACTGCAGAAAACCACTCCATCCCAGTCACTGCCCCCCTTTGCAGGTCCATGGAAACAGGACAGGGATATGCCTGGATTACCAGCACCTGCACCCTGGTGAGTGGACAGACTGGTACAGGCTGACCCCCACTGTGTGCACTTTAGTTCCAAATGATGTTTTTCTTAGCCTAAACCAGCACTCCTCTCTGGGATTGCTGGCAGCACTGGGCAGTGGCACATGGTGAGAAGAAGCGACCTGTGTCCACTAGTGGGTTTGCTCTCAGGTGCTGCTCTTGGGCCAGAGGAGATTCCAGCTGTCCCCAGCTCTGAGAGGCTGTGTTAAAGCCCCAAGTCACCTTGATCTGAGAGGCAGCCTGGGGTAATCCAAAGGGATGGGCAGTGAGCAGCAAAGGAGAGCAGTGGGCATGGCCCTGTGTGCCTCCAGCGGTGCCTTGTTTCGCTGGGGTTTCTGCCACTCACAGCCCTCCCAGTTTGGGTTCCTTGTTGCTGCTTTTTCATGAATAAAAAAGCCACTGGAACTTAATCTCTACCATAATGTTTATTAAATAGTAATTTTAAAAGGTTTTTATACAAATCATATAAACACAGGTTTTTTTGTTTTGTTTTGTTTGTTTTTTACACTGAAGAATCACAGTAAAAGCTCTTTAAGTCCATAAGTCCTGGCTCAGCCAGTGAACGATCAAATACCTTGAACTGCAAACCTTGGAGAAGTTCCATTTCTGCATATAATTTCTTAATGGTTTAATTCCCATGCTCACCTCCAGCACCTCCCCACACAGTGAAGTCACCCAACACTACAGCCCATTAGCAACATGTCCTCGCCATAGGAAGGGTGTGGAGGCAACAGCCCGTTTAAGCAAAGGCGTTAACACCTTTTTTTTTCTTTTCTGAATTTCACAGAGGGAATTGTGATCAGCAAACCTAATCTATTTGCAGAGGAGGATGCAATGAATTGAATGCACTGATGACTTCCCCCTACCCCCCCCCTTAAAGTTACAATCAAACACAGTTTTCCGTAGAACAGTAAAGCACCCCGGCAGAGGTAAGTGAGGTATTGGCTGTGCAGCATTTTCGGCCTTCTCCCACCTGGCAAGCGCACACGTGGGCCCTGCCCCATCTGCAAGGGGCAGGCGGGACACGCAGGGTGGGTGCTTCGCTGGGCCCGTGCCACCTTAGTGCCAAGATCAGCAGTACTCTCCTGCCCCAGATCAAGAGATACATTAACACGAGTCAGTCCCACAGAATAAGTCACATACACGATACATACAGAGAATTCACGTGCGTGTGCAAACACACTATTTCTGAATATATGTATATATGAACTCTTCTCTCTGTACGCCTACTAGACACCATAACATCACCTTTTTAATTATATATTTTCACCTATTGTTTGCCTAAGTTGGCTTTTCTAGTGTATGGTCCTTTTCCATTCATCCTTCCCCTCTCCTGTGATGTGAAGGGGATAAAATCATTGAGCAGCAGCAATCCAGCTTTGAAATGGTCTGGTACATTTCCTCTCACTGCCTCTGTTTCTTTTGTACAGTAAAATAACACCCCTGTGGAATTTGTCTGCGAAGAATGCCAAAAGAAATAAGGTGATTCAAAAGGAGAATCAGAGATACATTTACTGTTTCTGTCGGGTGCACAGTGTGAATTAAAAAACCGAAGGCCTTTGTGTGTGCGCGTCTCTGCGTGTGTGTATGAACCATGGATGTTCTGATGACGCAGCTGCTGGTATCTGATCCCCCAGTACACCTGCGTCTTTCTTACAGCAGTCTTTTCTTTTTTTCTAAAAACGTACTGTTTGAGGGAGCTGTTCATGAAACACTAGACAAATGTTCCTATTCCCACAGTAACGAGGAGCAGCTGTGGCACTGCTCGTGTGTCCATGCTCATCTCCTCTCCAGATGTTGCTCCTCTCCCCAAACACCTGGCCTCCTGTACAATGTGTTTGCAGGGGCTGGGCAAACTGAGCTTCACAGCACATCACACCTTTGTCGCTCTAGAGTTAGCGAAGAAAAAAATTCCATCCCCAACCCCATCTATTTGCCAGGTGAAACGTACAAATCAAGACACGTAAGGTATTTCCAAGGAGCCCCTGAAAAAGGAAACCCAATGTGCTGGAAAGGTTTCTTGTTTACGTATGTGCAAGCTAATAGGGGTGATCAATCTGTACTGAATTGGAAATTAGGACATTGGTTTGGGACCCAGCATTTGAATTCTTTTTCTCCATTCAGTTTTCCTAATGCTCCTCTCCCACAGCACAGTGGTAAGTGGAGAAGTATCAGCTGCCAGACAATGTAGTCAGACCACTTGAAAGTAGAAGGACCAGACTTGTTCTACTGGGCTCTACCCAGCAGAGAGTGGTGAAGAAGAGTGTTTTGCAGGGAAGGATGAAGGCCTCACTTGCTGTTTGATACAGCACTGATCATCAGATGGAGGAAAAATACTTCTTCTAAGGCACTTGTTCAAAGTAAAAAAAAGCACAGCTCATAAATAAAACTTGGGGTTTTTGCTACTGATCAGGAGCAGTGCAGCTTTGCTCCAAAGGGAATATGGCAGCAGCCGTTTGGTCCAGCGGTGCTGGTGGCACCAGTTCACGCCCCCCAGCTCCAGGGAGAAAGGCAGAACTGTGAAAGTGAGGGGGGCCAGTGGGTACCATGGCCAGGCTGTACCATGGGGGCTGTGGGTACGGCTCCAGCCTCCTTCCCTGTTCATTTTCTCTCCCTGGCACTTTGGAGAGGCCTTGGCACTGTACCTCAAGTCAAACCCCAAGTGAAGCCCCCTTCCCAAAGCCGTTGCCTAAGCGCTGGACACCTGACAGGCTCTATCTTTTGTTTGCTGCAATTTTCTCATTATAACAAAAAGAAAAATGGCAGGCTCAAGAGGGGTGGAAGATTCAGAGAGAGGCCTTCCTGATAAAGGCGTCAGTTGTTGCAATCAAAGATCTGGATTTAATAAATGGCTCTTATTCACAAATCACTTTAAGGCTCTTCAGCTTCTCTCAAAGAGGTGCTTCTACATATAGGGTTTCCTTTCTATTTTATTTCTTAATGATTTCAGAAAGCACTGTTGTTACCATTGACACTAAAGCCAGCATCCCACCTTTCCCCCACCACCAGGAAAAGGAAAGTTGAAGGTAACAACATGCTTCCATTTTCAGGACTGCAAACTGCAGCTTCCTGTTCTTAGTGTGAAGTGCACAAATCCCTACAACAATATCTGGATGGAGTCTAAAATGGACAGGGTCTCTGCGTGTATGTGTGTGTATGTTATTTCTAAAGAAATCCCTCAGCCTTCTCAGCAACTCACCAGAGAAAGGAGGTGGGAAATAACAATCAACATTTAGTTTCTCACATCCAAAAGGTAAACCAGTCTCCCTCACCACATCCCAGCCACTCACATCAGCAGAAAATGAAGATGAACCAACAAACGAGGGGCTCATTACCCCCTTCGCCCAGCACAGTCTGGTTTGCAGGAAAACCCACTCAGTCCTGGCAAAGTGCAACCCGCCAGCAGGACCTGGTGGCAGGAGCAACAACTCCCCTCACTCCTCCTGCTCCCCTCATTCCCTGTTATGGCATTCAGTTCCCATAGAAAACAGCAAAAAAAGTACCCCCTGCCAGCCCACCTCATGGGGCACAATGCCAAGGGTGATCCCCAGGCACCCATCAGGCCTCCGAGCAGCACTTCTGGTGGTTCATCTTGACCTTGTGCTTGATGCCATCGTACAGTTCAAAGTTGTAGTTCTCCAGTGTGGTGGAGCTCCGTGAGGACAGCCCGGCATATGAGCACGTGCAGTAGAGGAGCAGACCAGCACAGATGGCCCCGAGGAGGACGCCGAGGGAGCTCATTGCTATAATGGTCACCAGGATGGGATCCAGGGTGTAGAGCCAGCTTTTTTCTTTGTCCAGCTTCGGGGTTCCTGGAGAGTTAGTAGAGAACAGTGTGTCGTTCCTATCCGATCCAAAGTAATCTGCAGTGGAACGGGCACTTATTATCCAGGGATCACTTTTTATTCCCTCTCACCTTTACACATTACTTACTTGGAGTTGTGACAGCTTTAAAAAGGTATAAGTATATATATGAGAATATTTCAGCAGGATTCACTAAACCAGGTCTAGAAATACTGTGAAGCACTGAACTACCTAGAAAGTTAGGCACTCTTAAATCACTTTTATACATCAGACCATTTACATAGCATGCTAGCAATTTACACCCCCTGAAACTCTGGCCCTTCCAGTGCCACTGGGTTCAAAGCTATGGAAACAATCTGTCACAGTTCTCAGACTTAATTTTCTTCATTTATAAGTCAAAACGCTATGCAAGCATCAATTAATGCTTGAAAGCTCACTTTCACTTGTTCTAACACAAATACAATATATTGACCTTGCAAGGTTGCTGGCTGTTGGAAAACAGGAAAAGAAAACTAATATCTTTGTCCAGACATTAAGCCACCTCTTCTGTGTATGTTCTTAAGTGTGTTATAGCTCCTAACACCGACTAAAGCTGAGGTTTGTGAGTAATCGTAGCATCTGAAACTAAAACACAAGTTGCCACAGCTAGATTGCCCATGTGGCATTTGGGTACCAACCTGGATCATTGTCTTCAAAGTCTTGCTCAGAGCTTGGAAAGTCATCTTCCGTTCTTGGGAAGTTCACTAGAACAACAAGATGGGAAGCACTGTTTGTTAAAATAGGCCTTTTGGAGGGAATTATTGCCACTGGTCACTAGATTGAGAGACCAGCTAGAAAAAAAGTAGCAGTTAAAACTACTGCAATGCTCTTTCTCATGGAAGGAGGAAGAACTCTTTCTTTTCTTCCTTTGGCCAAAGTCAGTGAAGACTCTTGCACATTTGAGAGAACGGGATCTTCCCACTACATCACATTTCATGACCACCAAATGACCAGCTTTTAAGAGGAAAAGAGAGCGAAAAGCGAAGAAACCAGACAACCTGAATAGCACTAAAATATTGTCACTGGTGCCTGCATAATGGCCATAATTCACTATTAACATACTCCTGGGTATTACCCTTACAACTTTGAATAGGATCTTAGTGCCTTTCATTACTTGCCGCTAATGCTGGATCCATTTAGCACACACTCTATTTTTCATCTTTCCCCATACATTTTACTGGATACAGAGCTTCAAGGATCCAGTTCCTCTTTGGGTTTCAGATAAATTCATAGTAATTTGAGGAATTCGTGTATCATCATTACATGTTTTAATGCGAAAGCTGGTTGAAATTGGGGGAGGCAAATGGGTGTCCATATCTAGGCATTTATGTTAATATTTCTCTGATCCAAATTCCTTTTAGTGATGACATTTCTTTTTATTGTTCAGCACAGACCAAGGACTAGTAACCAAATGCACATACTATAATCTGAACAGAAGTAAGCTATTTTCCTGTGCAGTCTTCCTAGCATTATCTCTACGTACAGAGATATTTTTTCACTTTTTCACTTTTCCACTTTTCCAAAAGAAAATGTCTTTTCATTTCAATCTGCCAAGACTTTTCAAAGCTGACTGTAACTTGGGGTCCTCAGCTGAGAAGGTGTCTTGAAATGATCAGGAATGCAGAAAATCAGGGACTACTAGAAAGCGATAGAAGTCACACCCTTGAAATAGTTGTGGTTGGAAACCAAGACTACTTTGCGTCTTGTGCAAAAACGGCAAGAAGAGTTTAAAGAGGTTACTTATAAACAACCAAACCCAAAGAATGTAACTTGTGACTAAAAAAAACAAGTGCAAAGAAATTATTCAAAACCTTATAAGAGAATATTTCTGCATATTTGCATGGATATTTAGGACTTGAAAAGGCCCCTTGAATTTTCAAATCCATTTTTTGCTATCCCAGGCAACCATATCAGGCAATTCCTGCCAGCAACCTTTCAAGGTTCACTTCCAGAGCGGGGGGCTCTGCTGAACACCATGCTGCCCCAACACCACCTTACACTTGATTGCAGAGATCCTCTGTGCTAGTACT